CGTAATATACCGAATTAAGAAGTTGCCGAAAGGTAAACCTAAAGTAGTTCACATAAATCGTCTTGCACCTTATGCTGGCTCAAATGAAACCGAAGAAGTCCGAACCCTTCAAAATAAGATCAAAGATGATCGGCGACCAAGCTTTAAGGAGTTTATGTCAAATTACGCAGAGAGAAAGAGTGCTAGATTCGGCGTGACGACAGAAGTTCAGCAGGATCTTTTTAGTGTTCCGCATAACGTCTCTCTAGCCCACTGTGTTGCCCAAGATCTTGAGATGACTAAAGGAATCTCATCTGTATTTTATACGAAGTTCGGTCGTTTGGACGAGTTAAAAAACCAGCAGCCTAAAGTTGGAAGAGTATTGAGATTAGAAGATGGTTCTCGATCTTTGCTGTATATGGTGACCAGGAAGTCGTATACAGCTAGGGCAACCTACGAGGATATATGGTGTGCTCTAACTAATTTGAAGAAAATCATCTGCAATTACGACATTAAGAATTTGGCCTTACCCAAGATAGGCCATGCACTAGATAATCTGGATTGGAAGATTGTCAGAAGCATGCTTGAAGTGATCTTCCGAGAAACCGGTGTAAGAATTACTGTGTGTTGCATTAATCCGAAGAGATCGTGTCCTTCAAAGACAGTAGACTGTTATTTCTTTCTGAGGGGTTCATGCGGAGCTGGAGAGTCCTGTAGATTCCGCCATCCTGGGCCTATAGATAGAGTTCCTGCTGAGAAGCACCCAGAAGTTTCCGCGATATATCAAAGCGCTGTAAAATTCCACCCGTCAAATAACGAACTAGAGGTGGGACTAGTCCCGAATATTCTCGAACATAATACTTTGGTATATATATGTAACGGAATTAGGAGTTAAGTTTAGTTGATAAGAGAGTACCGAACTGTAAAGTTATAAATAAATATATTTATATAAATTCGAACCGCTCGTTTTATTTAAAACCGGTACACAATAATCATGAAACAAATACATACAAAGTAAATACTGTTTATTAAGTACTCTTCATAACACAAATTAAAAAATTCTGGATATTAAATAGGAATATGTTTAAAAAGGAACAAACTCACCAAACACTCCAATTTCCAACGTCTCGAACCAAAATGTCCATATAAAACAAACAGCGCGCCAAAACCACCAACCACGCCGGCTCGATAATTTAATCGATGAATGTGTTGTATTTGCACTAATCCAGCTCTTAGGACCACATGAACAGTATATAAGGACCAACTTTCCCTATATCCTAGTTTTCTTTGCCAATAAAATGAAATCCCAACTGATTTCCCAACTTTTTATTTATCAACAACAAAATACGTCTACATTACGTTACATTACATCCGCCATTACAATTATCATTGTCTCTTTCTACTTCCGGACTCCCCTTGTACATTGCAACTCGGACGAGTCCATTTGTCTTACCGCTTGCAACTATACACCGTTGCAAGACTGACCAAAAAATCTCTTTTTATTATACAAATTTTAAAAGTCCCAAACAAATGCTATACTTATAAATTATACACAAAATTAATATCATTTCATAGTATGTATTTGCTATCCTTTATGTTCCATATCACAATTAGATTGGAAGTATTTAAAATGTGGACATATCGAAGAATTTCCTGGATAGACAGAATAACCAATGAAGAATTATTAAGAAGAATAGAGTTCAGCAGGGAGATACTGGATTCCATCAAAATAAGAAAATTGCAATACTTGGGTCATATAACAGCAGGTGGTGACAGATATGAACTAAAATTAATAATGCAGGGATAGATTCAAGGAAGGAGCAGCATAGGTAGAAAAAAATTTTCCTGGTTGAGAAATCTCAAAGAATGGATTGGATGCAGCTCAACTGAACTCTTTCGGGCTGTATAGTGCCAAAAGTTATAATAGGCAATGATGATTGCCAACTTTCGTCGCGGAGATGGCACGTAAAGAAGACATTCCATAAACATAAACAGTTTTTAAATAGCATAAAAGACATATAAAACATTCTTTTTATACCCTGGTCGCTTAAAACATGGAATCCAAGGTCGCATGATCGTTGAATGCAAGCATCGACAGACGGTCAAAACTAGATCTTCTGAGAAACTGTTTACACCGTCATTATACTATTTATATACGGTCATTATTAATTTGTGTTTCACTTTCTCTGGTGAATTTAGTTGGCAGTGTTAAAAATTGTTTGTAGAGTTCACGCGTACGTATATTAATTTGTATTTGTATTTTTTGTATTCGTGTGCATAAAGATATTCTATTCTATTCAAACGAATCGCATTCCATCAAATTTATAAAACGAATTTATCTCTTAATTTTATTTAAAGTTTACTTTTGACATATTTATACACGCAAAAGTAAATAAAATGTTTAAATTTAATGTAAATCAATAACCTGTAAAAACCGGTATAAATATATTATAGCGAGAGTATTAGTTCGTTTTTGTTCAGCGGTGTAAACGTGGGAAAGGTGATAACATAGGGAGAGGAATATTTAAGAGTGCGTGCCATTCACGTGATCATTCCATCTTTTCATCGGCTCAACTATAGTCTTAAAATCGTAGAATCTCAATATACCTATGCACGACTAAAACTAATCTGATATTTACCTAGTACATTGTTTAACATTTTAAAAATATTTACCTGAAGAGGCAGCATAGTCATGGCACTGAATATTTAACATCTTTACACATTCCTCATCAATATTGCAAGTTACAGCATAGTGTGTTTTCCTAACATTGTGTTCAGATGTCATTTTAGCTTTAACTGTGCACACATTTTTATCCCTTCGAACTTGCACCCATCCAACAGCAGAGTCCCCATAAGAAGACCTATTAGATCTGTAAATAAGCAGAAATATTTAATAAGTAGGTACCTACATAGATGTAAGTATTTTTGTTCCTAATAGTTTTATTTCAAGTAATTAAAAATATATGTCATTTACACTTCATATTATTGCATATTATTCATATTATTCACATTATCCATATTATTCACATAACTTATTATAATGATGTTTTACTTTAAGGGCGTAGGCCTAAGGGGCGATGTGTTTTACATGAATTCATTTTTTTCGAATCCTGAGATAACTAATAAGTATTTTTAAAAAAATTAAAAGCAGAATGAAAGATTACATTATTACCGAGGGCCGAAAGTCCCTTAGAATAACCAAAAAGTTTCTTTTGAATGATTCTATAATGTTTATTTTAATAAGTTACAGGGGTGAAAAACTAAAGAAACAATTTAGTGTGATTTTTAATTTCAATTATCTCATTCAAAAGAAACTTATTATTCATTCTAAGGGACTTTCGGCCCTCGGTAATAAAGTAATCTTTCATTCTGCGTTGACATTTTTTAAAAATACTTATTAGTTTTTTCAGGATTCGAAAAAAATGATTACATATAAAATACATCGAAAATTTTGACAGGCGTCAAAATCTTGCATTATTCTCCTTTTCTCTTAACTTTAATAGGTTTTTACTTGTATGAAAAATACTTTTATTGATTTATATTATACGTAGAACTATTAATTATGGTTTATATCCTACCTGTTAGTTTTAACACCATGAACTTCAACAAAGGAAAAACTTTCGCTATTTTTTATTTAAGTCGCCACCATAAACACATCCACTAAAGGTAAATTGTCAGACTGTCCGTTTAAAAACCTGGCGTCAGTCATTTAAAAACATTTTACAAAATTTAACACATTTAAAGCCTTTAACAGTATTAAAACTCTGACAAAAACACGCTATAATACAATGGAAACGTTATCAAATCATAACATCATTATAACATGCAATCGTTGAGAATGCAATACCCACAAGATAAATAATATAATAGTAGGCAATACCAATGCAATACCGTTACAGGTTACAGTTGCAACGTTGCAATACTTATCATTTTTACCCGTTTATATGGATGACCAACGAACGGTATGGCGTCACAACCGATTCCGCTCGTTGTTAAATTCTGAAGATTTTAATTGCTTATATTTATTTCATAATAATAAAATATGAGTTTTTTTGTAAACTGAGGTTCTTTTAACAGTATTTAATAACATTTATGAGTAATATTTCTGAAATTTAATTTTTATGCAAGTTCTCCATTAGATCCAAACTCGATTACGGTTCAATAGTTTTTGCCTCCGCAACCAAGAGTACCCTAAAACCGTTAGATACAATCCACAATGCTGCACTTCGGATTGTTCTCAGAGCTTTTCATCATTCACCCATAGAAAGCTTATATTTAGAAACTGGAGAACCATCATTGCCGTATAAGCGGGCACTTTTAACACTTTCACACGCTTCTTCTGTAGCTGCTAATAAGGATCGTCCACTCTTCGAAAATACCTTTACTAAAAATAATCTTGACTTCCTTTTTAATAAACCTCGTACTGGAAAAACTTATTACACACGATTAAGATCAATTCAGAATAATTTTGACACAACAATCATGGAGGGACTAAAAGAAATATAATACAAATTCGTAGAAAAAAATAACTAACTTTAAAACGACATTGAATGAACTGAAACCAAAGACAGTCAGAGCTTGTTGTAAAAATCTTTAGGAGGAATCTGCACATAATATAAAGCACTTACAACGCATCGATGAGCAGGTTAGGAAGATCGTTCAATCAACAAGTAATGTCGGAAGACCAGCGATTCATTGATTTGATAGAAGTGGAAGATTTGACAAAAGATGATTTATGACAAATATTTAAATCATAGCAAATCATCACAAATATAAAAAAGTGTAGTATAGAGTTTAATGAGTAATAAATAAATCCATCACATATTATTGGTAAGGTTGAAAACATTGTCAAGATACTGTGCTCTATTTGTTTTCTCCCTACTCCTGTACCTTATCATTTGCAATGCGATATCAAAGACAAAACAAAGGAACTGCGTGAGTACCTCTTTGTATGCGATTATATTATAGTGAAAATAAATGGTATAAAACAAGATGAAATTTACAAAAAATATATCCCATACCTGTAATAATCTCGATGCTTTTTCGGATCGCTATAATTTTTTTCAGATCGAGAGTGTTCTTTTCTTCCATCCTGGTCCCTTCGTGATCTATCCCTGCCATAATATTCATATTTATTCCTTTCACTGTCTCTATTTTGCTTTCTAGTTTCACTTACCGTTCTTGAAACTGATCTGGATCGCGACCTACGCCATTTATCTCTACTACTTTGTTTGGCTACATTTTTATCTTCGCCTCTTTTTGAAAGTAGATTAGAGTTCGAATTCTTATGCGAACTATTTTCTTTATTTGTATAACTAGATGGTGTTCTTGATTTATCTCTTGTATTTCTATCCCGATTATGAGTTAAGTTTGAAAATGATTGATTTTGATTATTTCTTTTTGGTGATTTTTTAACCATATGTCCTCGGGTTTTGTAGTTTCCTAGAATAAATACTAAAATTAAAACCAATATCGTATGTAATAATAAATAACATAAATGCACACAAACACACACACACACACACACACACATATATATATATATATATATATATATATATATATATATATATTGTTATGATATGTAAAAACGAGAAAAATATTGGTTTGTTTAAAATATTTCAAAATTCAAAAACATTAAATAATTCAGATAAGTAGGATAATACCCAACAAACATTTCGAAGAAGGAAAATATTTAAATTTTTGAATTACCTGTATTAAACAAAATGTAAGCTAAGCATAAATTATTTCCTTTGTTATACTATACTTGAGTGACCCGCATAATTTTAAGTGAAATCCCAAAGACAATTGAACCGGGTTTTTCCAAATACATTAACGCAGCGATTATAGACAATAGAAGATGTTTTTGTTAGTTTTTAAGAATTATAGAAAAATATTATTTGTAAATAAGTTTTAGGAAATTTTATAATGATAGGTAAAAATTTGTTTGTTATCGGAATGAAAGAATGGGGAATTGTGACGAGTTTTGATTGGCGGAGATTAAAAAAAGGTGGGATAGATATGTAGGAATGAAAGTTTAGCTAGATTTAGGAGAGAAAAAAGATGATCAGTTGGTTTTCCAAGTCTGTAAGACGAACAGTGATTGTTCTCTGGCGGTTCCCGAGAAGTAGCAAGCAGTAGTGATGAATGTTAGTGAGTTTTTGTGGAGTTAGTGTATCTGACAGAAGCTGAAGCAGCAAAATATTGTAAGTCATATTTTTCTACTTATATTCCAAGAGTCACTGTTCAGGCCAACGAGATTCAGTTTATCGTAAAGAAAAGATATTCCAAGAGTCGTTTTTCACTCAGGCCAACGAGAGATTCAGTTTATTGAGAGAAGAAGAAGCTAGCATAATTTGAACGATTCGTGCATTTGAAGGAGATCATTAAGGACGAGATACTTGCAATAATTTATTGTAAGATTGCTGATTACTTAGGGAGCGGCCACGAGTAAATAATATAGTCTACAAATAACAAGGATTTGGACCACTCATCATCAGAGAGAGATAGTTTTGTTTTCTGCAGTTTTTCTTTCATTGATAACACAATTTTTTTCACTTAATTTAGAAAGGATATAAATATTTTGATTAGGAGATTTAGAGTAATACTTGGATTTTGAAATTTCAACTAATATTGTTTGTACCATTAATTTTGATTGTTCACGTACGTAGAACAAAATTTTGAGAATTATTATATGAGATTTTGTTTATTGAAAACTTTTGAGTGTGAATTATTTCATTATTTTTATTTCAATATATAGTGTTAGATCATATGTGTTTTTTTTTGTTCCGGTATTCTTTGGACCTTACCTTTCACATGTAATAGCATAGATATTGAAGCACGAATTTAACCCTGAGATAAAAGAATTAAAAATTGTGATAGAGTCATAATCATATCATTTAAATAATTTTAATTAATCAAAAAAATTAATTAGCTAATTATTGCTTGGCGCACCAAGACTTTAAATATCACAATAATATATATATATATACAGTGTAGGTAAAATTTTAAGGTCGGTATGGTAAAATTTAACAGGATATCTAACGCAGATATAAAATCATATTTTCAACGAATTAGACAAAGATAACAATCATATTTCCCCTTCGTCTCCCCTCCTAAAATCCTTTTAACACTCATTGGCCATTGCCCATTGGTGAGACGATTAGTTCCGATCAGATATTCTCTGGTTCCGATCCTAATATACCTAAAAAACTAGAGGTGGGTCTTCTCGTTTTTTTAATTTTTATCGGAACCGTTTTTCGTAAACTGTAACTAGTTGATTATTTACCAGTATTCAAATTAGCGAGTACACAAACATATTAGCTATTATCGTTTATGTGTATAAGTATTGAAATAAAAGAACCTAACGAAGGATATATTTATTGTAACTTGAAAAATAAATTAAATAATACAAATGGTACTTAAATAGTTACATTTACATTACACATTATTAAATCGCGAATCGTCTAAATTGACATTTAAAAACATAAGTTTTTCCACTTTTCTTGTTAATCGCGTTCTTCTTTTATTTAAAATTATACCAGATGTTAAACATGTGTTCACAAGGAAAAGATTTTGTTACAATACTACAACATTTTATGAATATAGTGGTTAAGTTACGATATACATGGCGATGGTTTTTTCACCACGGTAATGGACAATCTCCGTTCGAAATTGTTTGTGGGTAATATATCATCAGACAATTACATGTCGACTTCTTTTATACCTCTCGATACAGGTGTATGTTTAGATGAGTCATGTCCAATTAATTCATCAAAAATACACCATGGACTTAAGTCATCTTTATCAGTTTCTTTTTCTTGGACTGATTGATTTTCAAGATTTACTAAACTTTTCGTTTCATCCGTTTTCCATAGTTAAAGAACCAGCTTTTAAAAAGTTTGCAGGGTGGATTCCTGGATATAAACCGCCAACAAGAAAAACTTTGTCAGGTTCATTACTTCAGGAATGTTATGTCAAAAGTGAGCAAATTATTAGATCGCAAGTTGTTAAAGAAGTAGAAAATATCTGTATTACTACTGACCTCTGGACATCTGGAGTAACTGAGAGTTACTTCGCATTAACAGGACAATATTTAACCGAAAATTTAGTATTCAAAACTTTTTTATTAGGCTGCTGCCATTTTTCTGGAAACCATAATCCAGAAAACAGCGATTACTGAAATCATTAATCAGTCGGGTCTAAAACGAAAAGTAAATTTTGCAGTAACTGATAATTCCTAAAATATGGTCAAAGCTATTAAATATGTTTTGTTTTATGATGATTGTGATTTATGATGATGATTAAATTTATTGGTGGGGGACGCACTTAAATGCTGTCGTGTACAAATAGATAAAATAAAAAGTCCTTTTTTCGACAATTCTGCAAAAAAACACATTTCAAAAAAGTACCTTATCTTCAGAAAGGCTTTTAAAGTATTAATTACAACAGAACACAGTTCCCAAACGGCCAATCCAAGACGTGGAAACTAGGAAGAACTTCACCTATTACATGTTAAAAAGAATGACCGAGTTAGAAGAGGCAACCCGTTCCACATTGGTATTAAATAATACAGACTTAGACTTAAACCTAATCTAAATAAAGAACACTGGATTATTCTCAACTTTCCCAAATTTTACGGCCGTTTAAAGAAATAACAAGTACAATGAGTGACCAAAAATACTTGAATGCTAGTTCAGTGATTGTTATGGTACGCTGCCTGCAAGAATCTTGCAATAAAATTTTAGCAAACGGCATACTTACATCCATAGTATATGACATAGTACAATTACTAATATCGGGTTTAGCAAAAAGATTTAGCAGAAGCATCATATCAGCAGATGGCAGAGTTAAGATAGATGTACAAAACCGAATAACCCAAGGAAAAAAATGCATCCGAATACTGAATTCATTACTGTGGTCTAATAAAATAAAGATGCATACCAAACTTCGCGTATACAGAGCAATTGTAGAACCAATTACCACATATGGTGCCGAATGTTGGACGATGACAAAGAATGAACGAGATAAAGTAGACGTTGTGGAAATGGATTATCTTAGAAGGTCATGTCGAGTATCGAGAATGGAAAGAATCAGGAATGAGGAAATACGAAACCGTACAGGAATTAGAGATACTCTTTCAGATAGAATACAAGGAAGGCAATTACAATGGTATGGTCACGTGATGAGAATGGAGGAGGAGCGGTGGCCAAAGAAAGCCTTAATGTATGTTCCGCCAGAAAGAAGGAAAAGGGGAAGACCACCAAATTCCTGGAGAAGAGAAATTACAAAAACAATGCAATCTAGAGGCTTAGAAGAGGGAGATTGGTGAGATAGGAAAAGATGGAGGCTGAAATGCGGGAAGCGGCAATCGCCGTAGGACCCCCGTTATATGATGATGATGATTGTTTAGTTTATTTTTCAAGTTATAATAAATATATCATTAGGTAGTTTCTTTCACTTCAAAAGATATACACATAAACGATAATAGCCGTTATGTTTGTTTATGTAGGTACTATCTTACTTGAAACTACTTTTAAACAATCATAGTTACTTGTTTATGAAAATTAAAATTTTTAAATGCTTTTTAGCATTCAAAAAAATTTAAATTTTTTTGGAATCCTGAGAAAACTAACAAATATTTTTGAAAAATTTAAATGCAGAATGAAAGATTACATTATTACCGAGGGCCGAAGGTCCCTTAGAATAAACAAAATGTTTTTTTAATGAGATATTTGAAATTAAAAATCACACTAAATTTTGTTTTTTTTTTCATCCCTATAACTTATTAAAATAAACATTATAGAAGTTTTCAGGTACTTTCAGCTCTCGGTAATAATGTATTGTTTCATTCTGCGTTTAATTTTTTCAAAAATATTTATTAGTTTTCTCAGGATTCGAAAAAAATGAATGCATTTAAAAAACTTTGGTCCGTAATTTTGCTCCTACGCTCTTAACGATAAACTAGCACGACCCACCTCTACTTCTCGTTACTCGATCTTTTCACCAGACGTGACCAGACGACTATCTAGACTAGACGTTGCCAAATAAATTAGTGTATGAATATTTTTTAATTTGGCGTTATTGTATGCATGTTTAATTGTTTATTATTTCATATTGGGAAATTATTTTGATGTTTAGATTTTTAGTTCGGAAATCGTACTTAAAATACGAAACATTAATAAATTTTATTTATATAAAACGATTTCCGAAATGGAAATCAAAATGTTATATTACAATTATTGTAAAGAAAACTTGTGGCATATTTCCAATAAAAAAAAACAGTAACCTGCCATTTAAATCAATTTCGCCCAAATTTGATTATCTTGAGCATTTTATCTTCTTGATAGAACATTGTTCAAATGCAAAAAAAGACAACAGGTCAAATAAAACCAATAAGTTTGGCAACGTTGAATTTCCCCTTTTTTAATATTTCCATTCGG